GAATTCTCTGAATTTCTGAATTTCTGAATTTCTGAATTTCTGAATTTCTGAATTTCTGAATTTCTGAATTTCTGAATTTCTGAATTTTTGAATTTCTGAATTTCTGAATTTCTGAATTTCTGAATTTCTGAATTTCTGAATTTCTGAATTTCTGAATTTCTGAATTTCTTGATTTCTGGATTTCTGAATTTCTGAATTTCAGAATTTCTGAATTTCTTGATTTCTTGATTTCTGAATTTCTGAATTTCTGAATTTCTGAATTTCTGAATTTCTGAATTTCTGAATTTCTGAATTTCTGAATTTCTGAATTACTGAATTTCTATATTTCTGAATTTCAGAATTTCTGAATTTCTGAATTTCTGAATTTCTGAATTTCTGAATTACTGAATTTCTATATTTCCGAATTTCAGAATTTCTTAATTTCTGAATTTCTGAATTTCTGAATCTCTGAATTTCTGAATTTCTGAATTTCTGAATTTCTTGATTTCTGAATTTCTTGAATTTCTGAATTTCTGAATTTCTGAATTTCTGAATTTCTATATTTCCGAATTTCTGAATTTCTTAATTTCTGAATTTCTGAATTTCTGAATCTCTGAATTTCTGAATTTCTGAATTTCTGAATTTCTTGATTTCTTGATTTCTTGATTTCTGAATTTCTGAATTTCTGAATTTCTGAATTTCTGAATTTCTGAATTTCTGAATTTCTGAATTTCTGAATTTCTGAATTTCTGAATTTCTGAATTTCTGAATTTCTGAATTTCTGAATTTCTGAATTTCTTGATTTCTTGATTTCTGAATTTCTGAATTTCTGAATTTCTGAATTTCTGAATTTCTGACTTTCTGAATTTCCGAATTTCAGAATTTCTGAATTTCAGAATTTCTGAATTTTTGAATTTCTGAATTTCTGAATTTCTGAATTTCTGAATTTCCGAATTTCAGAATTTCTTAATTTCTGAATTTCTGAATTTCTGAATCTCTGAATTTCTGAATTTCTAAATTTCCGAATTTCTGAATTTCTGAATTTCTATATTTCCGAATTTCAGAATTTCTGAATTTCCGAATTTCAGAATTTCTGAATTTCAGAATTTCTGAATTTTTGAATTTCTGAATTTCTGAATTTCTGAATTACTGAATTTCTATATTTCCGAATTTCATAATTTCTTAATTTCTGAATTTCTGAATTTCTGAATCTCTGAATTTCTGAATTTCTGAATTTCTGAATCCCTTGCTTTCTTGATTGCTTGATTTCTGAATTTCTGAATTTCTGAATCTCTGAATTTCTGAATTTCTGAATTTCTGAATTTCTGAATTTCTGAATTTCTGAATTTCTGAATTTCTGAATTTCTGAATTTCCGAATTTCAGAATTTCTGAATTTCAGAATTTCTGAATTTCAGAATTTCTTAATTTTTGAATTTCTGAATTTCTGAATTTCTGAATTTCCGAATTTCAGAATTTCTTAATTTCTGAATTTCTGAATTTCTGAATCTCTGAATTTCTGAATTTCTAAATTTCCGAATTTCTGAATTTCTGAATTTCTATATTTCCGAATTTCAGAATTTCTGAATTTCCGAATTTCAGAATTTCTGAATTTCAGAATTTCTGAATTTTTGAATTTCTGAATTTCTGAATTTCTGAATTACTGAATTTCTATATTTCTGAATTTCAGAATTTCTGAATTTTTGAATTTCTGAATTTCTGAATTTCTGAATTACTGAATTTCTATATTTCCGAATTTCAGAATTTCTTAATTTCTGAATTTCTGAATTTCTGAATCTCTGAATTTCTGAATTTCTGAATTTCTGAATTTCTTGATTTCTTGATTTCTTGATTTCTGAATTTCTGAATTTCTGAATTTCTGAATTTCTATATTTCTGAATTTCAGAATTTCTGAATTTTTGAATTTCTGAATTTCTGAATTTCTGAATTACTGAATTTCTATATTTCCGAATTTCAGAATTTCTTAATTTCTGAATTTCTGAATTTCTGAATCTCTGAATTTCTGAATTTCTGAATTTCTGAATTTCTTGATTTCTTGATTTCTTGATTTCTGAATTTCTGAATTTCTGAATTTCTGAATTTCTGAATTTCTGAATTTCTGAATTTCTGAATTTCTGAATTTCTGAATTTCTGAATTTCTGAATTTCTAAATTTCCGAATTTCTGAATTTCTGAATTTCTATATTTCCGAATTTCAGAATTTCTGAATTTCCGAATTTCAGAATTTCTGAATTTCAGAATTTCTGAATTTTTGAATTTCTGAATTTCTGAATTTCTGAATTACTGAATTTCTATATTTCCGAATTTCAGAATTTCTTAATTTCTGAATTTCTGAATTTCTGAATCTCTGAATTTCTGAATTTCTGAATTTCTGAATTTCTGAATTTCTGAATTTCTGAATTTCTGAATTTCTGAATTTCTGAATTTCTGAATTTCTGAATTTCTGAATTTCTGAATTTCTGAATTTCTGAATTTCTGAATTTCTGAATTTCCGAATTTCAGAATTTCTGAATTTCAGAATTTCTGAATTTCTGAAATTCCAGACAAATTAAAAATTTAAAATATTGGGATTTCTCAAAATCCAGACTTAAATTTCCAAATTTTTTGACCAATTTTTGATCTACCCGGGAATTTTTGAATTTTTGTTGTTGTTTTGATAAATCATCATTTTTCGGATTCTTTTCAATTTGCAACCTTTTCAGAGGCTATTTTTCGTCTATTTTAAATTTTAATAGTTTTTTGAATATTTCAAGTTTTGAATTTTCAGTTTTCCCCCTAAAAATGTACATGGTCATTCAATTCAACCCAGACAATGACGTCGTGGAATTGAAGGAATTTTTGTACCAAGGAAAATTCAGATACGTGGAGACGTCGAATTTGCAAGAGCTCTACGAAAAATATAGTGAGTTTTTTGAAAAGTTTAAATTTTCCGCCAAAACTTTCAAGCTAATTTTTTTTCCAGAAGCCATCAGAGAACAAGCCAAAGCAGAAGCAACGGCCCCAGTTGAGACCGATAATCAAAAATCGATCAATGAGGAGAAAATTGATAATCAATCGATGAATTCAGAAAATTCGGAAAATTCGAAATTCAAAATCCCGAAAAATCCATCAAAATCGCAAGAATGTGAAAAAGGGGATCCGATTGCTCATACTCAAAAATTGTTGGCCGCTTTGGGACCTCGAATTTCGAATTTCAGCCAAAAACGGACCATTGACATTTTGAGAGAGAAAATTGGGGTTAGTTTTTGGGCTGATATTTCAAAATTAGGCTGAAAATTCTTAAAATTTGGGGATCAATGTTTGGGTCAAAAATGTAAAATTTCGGCTACGAAAAATTAATTTTTGGGTCAAAAATATCAAATTTAGGGATGAAAATTATCAAAATTTGGCTTTAAAATATCCTATTTTGGATTGAAAACATCAAATTTTGGTTTCAAAATTATCGGAGTTTGGGTTTCAACTAGTCAGATTTTAAATTGTTGGATCAAAAGTATCAAATTTTGGGTTAAAAATGTCAAATTCTGGCCTTAAAGCATCAATTTTTGTCTTCAAAATATCAATTTTTAAATCAAAAACATCAAATTTCAGGTTGGAAACATCATTTTTTGACCCAAAAATATCAAAATGTGGGTTGAAATTATCAAATTCGGGCTTTAAAATATCAAAATTTGGGTAAAAATTTGCACATTTTGGGTTCACAATAATCAAATTTTAGGTGGAAAACATAAAACACAAACAACAAATTTAGGTTGAAAATATCAAAATTTGGCTTAAAATTACAAATTTTGAGTTGAAAATATCAAATTTTGGGTTCAAAGTTGATGTTTTTTGGATTAGAATTATCAAATTTTGGGTTCGCAATAGCCAAATGTTTGGTTGAAAATATCAATTTCTTGGATTAAAAATATCAATTTTTGGGTTTCAATTAGTCAGATTTTGGGTTGAAAATTTTCATTTTTAGACATAATATCATTGATTTTTTCAGAGCCCAAAAACCGATTCATCGCAACCAGAACCATCGGATTCTCTTCCAAAAATGACTCCAAAACTGAGCAATCCGACAATTTTTCCAATTCCAGAACCTTCTGAAAATCGAGAATCTGAAAAAGCGAAAAATCGAAAACGATCTCATCGGAGAAATTCTGGAAATGCTGAAAATTCGAAAATGGAAGATTCAAAAGTTTTGGAAATTCTGAAAAATCTGAATATGCCGGAAAGCAATTCGCCAGGTTTCGAGCCGATTTTCCCATTGAAATGGACAGATGGATACTGAAAATTTTCATTATTTTGTGATTCATTTATTTAACTTTTTCTTACCTTTTTTTAACTTATTGAAATTGAATAATAATATTATTTTTTGCGAATTTTTTTGAACTTTTTGAGATTATAAATTTTCTGGAATTCCAGTTTTTCCATAATTTTTCTGTTACTTTTTAAATATTTTTTTATCGGCAATTTTCAAACCTCGACGCTGGAGAGGAATATGAAAAAGTGATGAGAATTTTGAATGAAAATTTGATCGATTATTCAGTGCAGTTTCAGAAAAATCATCCTGGTGATTTCAGAGATTTTTTTTGGAAATATGGATTTTTTCATTTTTCAGAAGCAATTCAAAAAGACGTTGAAACTCAAACCGAATCTGAAAATTTTGGCTTTAAACATTCAAAAAAAGCGAAAATGGGAAAAAAGGAATATGTGACAAATGACAAAAAAACAGGTATCCATATGTCTGTCTGTTTGTCCTGATGCCCAAAAATTCTTCAGAATCAGGAAGGTCCAAATGTTCCATCAACTTCTGGAAATTCAGACAATTCGAGTAAACCAAAGAGACCCAAAATTGAATCAAATTGTGTCACTGTGAAATTTCAGGGTTGTGGAGTAGAGGTTCCGAAAAAGTGGAAGAGTTTGACAGATCATATAGCGTCTGTGACACATATGAATTTCAATACGTACGTGGATTTCTTTCAATTTTTCAAATTAAAAAAAAAGTTTGCAAAGTTTGCAAAGACTCACAGAATTTGAGCCACAAGCGCTGGATTGTTCTGAACGAACACGGCCTCGCGGAAAGGAACCTTGATTTGAAAATTGGCAACGTGCCAAATTTGAACGCGTAACGGTTCCGCATCGCGGTTTTATTTCTGACGCTCTGTGTCTCTCCATTACGCAGTGTATTTTTCGAAAAATTAAACTTTTTTGGGTCATTGAAGTACGTGGCGCCAACTTGTAGTGGGCGGCGCTAACTGTGTGCGATAAAGCGCGTTGTTTTGAGGTTCCTTTTTGCGAGGCCGTGAACGAAGAACAATTTAAGGATTATCACAGTGCTGTAGAGGGGTCACCTTGGGGAGTGTTGGATTCCCCGTGACGGCTCCAGAGAAACAAGCTACCTCTATGTGTGCAATGTCTGGCTAGGGAAGTGCATCGGTAACAGGGGAACTAGTTATGTCTGTAGCGAGGAGTGGGACGACGAGCGGGCAGATAAGCGGTGTGGAAACAATAATAACAACAGTAGTATCAGTGACCCATTTATTGAGCGGCATATTAAGGAGAATATATCGTCAATAAGAGGTTTCCTTGGAGTCGGGCTGGCTTGGAGACGGACGAGAAGGACATCACTGATCACTCAATAGTTGAAGGGGCAAAAAGCCTTGGGCAACAAAAACCCTTCTTCTACCGGTGACAAGCTTATCGCATCTCATAGACAAAGTTCCCAATAGCACACGCTTCCTAGTGGTCACGATGAGAGCAATGAAAGGAAAACACTCATGAAACAGGTCACAGAACTGGCCGTTAGTCTATTCAGAAGGAAATCCATATCAACTCACACCATTAGCGGTTTCCTATAGACCAATAAGGCCGGTAAGACGATCGGGGATCGCCGGAGGTCTTATAGTATTGGAATAGTAGGAATAATGATGAGTAACGAGGTTGACGGACTTGCAAACTGAAGGGAAACGTCACGGAACAGCACTAACTACTTCTAGAATTAACTGAGTAAGACTCAGTCAAATCTCTCTGAATAGAAAATAGGCCAGTGAACCCGTTTCGAGTGTGTGTGCGCCTTTAACCCCTTCGTGGCGAGACCTCAACGATAGGGCGCGCTTGCACGAAGGAAGAGGGAAAAGGCGGGAATTTGAATATGAGAAAGCAATAAAAGGCTAATAAACAAAGGAAAATAAAGAGAATAAAGTGGGAAATATTAGGTTGGCGGGAAAGTCTTTGTCACTTTTTCAATAGTTTATTTCTCAAAGAAAAAATAACCGAATAATTAATTATATTGTCCATCATTATCAACAACATGTCTCCAACGTTCCCTCAATTTATGGATTCCATTGCGGTAGAATCCAGCCGGGCGTGAGGCAAAGTATTGTTTGAGTGCCGCTTCGACCGCTCCACGGGAATTGAAGCTTCTTCCTTCGAAGGCACGTGTCATATCGCCAAATAACCAATAGTCGGAAGGAGCAAGATCAGGAGAATACGGGGGGTGAGGGAGAACATTCCATCCATATCCCATCAGCTCCTGCTTCACTTGTTTCGAAACATGTGGGCGAGCGTTATCATGTTGATAGTACACTTTCTTGTCTTTCAGGGCCGAACGGTCGACTGCTTTCTTGAGGTTTCGTAGTTGAGTAGTGTAGAGGTCTCCAGTTATTGTTTTGCCCTCGGGCAGAAGTTCCCAGTAGATGGGGCCGTCCACTCCCCACCACACAGAGAGCATAACTTTTTTCGGATGAAGGTCGGGTTTGGGGACATCCTGTGGGCTCTCTCCTTCTCCAACCCACTGGGATTTCCTGTGGTGATTATCGTAGAAGACCCACTTCTCATCTCCGGTTATTAGCCGGTCCAGCCATCGATCGCCCGCGTGGAGAGTGAGAAGAGTAATCGAATCGTCGACTCGGCGGTCAAGGTTGGCTTGAGTCAGGTGATGACGTATGAATCGACCAAAAAGTTTTCTCATTCCAAGAGACTTCAAACCTTCAAGGACTGTGCTATGGTGAACTCCGAATGTGACAGCTAGTTCACGGCTAGATTGAAATGGATCCGATTGCAATGCGTGCTTCAGCTTGTCCAAATCCAACTCACGGGGTCTCCCAGAGCGATCCTTTTCATCGAGCGAGAAGTCATCTTTTTCGAAACGATGGAACCAATTGCGAATAGTATTGTAGTGAGGGGCATGTGTGTTGTACACATTCTTCAAGAAAGATTCCGAATCCTTCATCGTGGTGTGAGATAGGAAGAGGTAAATCAAAACATGTCTGATGTGAATAGCAGTGGGAACAAACATATCGTTTCAATTACAGATGAGGAGCAGGGAAGGAAATGGGGACTTGTTTATATGGAAGGTTCTTATCACCTTGTTATTCACTAGAGTCGATATCATACACAGCCTCCATATACGAGAACAGTGATTAAACAAACAGAGTGACAAAGACTTTCCCGCCAACCTAATAGGAAGATTTCTGAGGAGTAAGCACAGTGGGCTGGGCCTAGAGGTCCTCAGAATATCTTAAAGTTGGCGAGTCGGTGAATAGCCACGTGGACTCGACAACAAGTGCCCCGAACCGCGATTGCGCCAACCAGCCGCCTTCAAATGGCGCGGCGGGGTGCGCTTGTGTTTTCAGTATTAATTTTCAGAGATTTTTTTCAGACGACGACATCTCAGCTCAAACTGAATGAAAAAAAACATGGGAATACCTACGAATTGTAGAGAATAAAATTCTTCATCAGATTTGAATAGTTTTCGTTGTTAAAAATTTTCCGGCTTTGCGGAATCGTGTTTTTTCTGAAAAAAGTCCAGTTTTTAATACTTTTTCTGTCAAAATTTCATAGTTTACAAGTCTGTTTTGGATGATTGACATGATAGATATGTTTTTGAATCAGAAATAGATCATTTAAAGCAGGTTTTCATAAGTTCAAGTTATGAATAGCCTGAGTCTGTTAATTCAGAGGTATTGTGAGAAAACTGATTTCTCCCGGGACTAAATCGAATTGAAACAGTAAGAAGAATGCTCAAAACTTATCAGACTTATCACGACATCATTTTCATATCCTTTCGTACAAAATCTGAAAGTTTCCAGCAAGAAAATGGCCAATACAACTCAATCTGAGTCCTAGGGGGAAAATTCGACAATTCAAATGTCTGCTAAACTTCACAAAATACATCAAATCAGTTCAAAAATTGAAAACCGAAAAAAACCTCAATGTGAAAATTTCATGAACTTTGTCTAACTTTTCAGTAAGAAAATTTTGAAACTGTTTTAACCATTGCTAACACAAAGCTTCAGCCGAATCGGACTAGTTTCCTGAGCGCAGCGCGTGAAAGTATGTGGGGAGAAGAGGTGCAGACAGTTAGACGCCCTTGCTGTCTGCGTCTCTCGCAGTAGCAATTTGGCTGTTATCCAATTCAAAATGGTCTGAATTTCTGAATTTCTGAATTTCTGCATTTCTGAATTTCTTGATTTCTGAATTTCTGCATTTTTGAATTTCTTGATTTCTGAATTTCTGCATTTTTGAATTTCTTGATTTCTGAATTTCTGAAATTCTGAATTTCTGAATTTCTGAATTTCTGAATTTCTGAATTTCTGAATTTCTGAATTTCTGAATTTCTGAATTTCTGAATTTCTGAATTTCCAAATTTTTGAATTTCTGAATTTCTGAATTTCTGAATTTTGGAATTTTGGAATTTGTGAAATTCTGAAATTCTGAATTTCTGAATTTCTGAATTTCTGAATTTCTGCATTTCTGAATTTCTTGATTTCTGCATTTCTGAATTTCTTGATTTCTGAATTTCTGAATTTTGGAATTTGTGAATTTGTGAATTTGTGAATTTGTGAATTTCTGAATTTTGGAATTTTGGAATTTGTGAAATTCTGAATTTCTGAATTTCTGAATTTCTGAATTTCCAAATTTTTGAATTTCTGAATTTCTGAATTTCTGAATTTTGGAATTTTGGAATTTGTGAAATTCTGAAATTCTGAATTTCTGAATTTCTGCATTTCTGAATTTCTTGATTTCTGAATTTCTGCATTTTTGAATTTCTTGATTTCTGAATTTCTGCATTTTTGAATTTCTTGATTTCTGAATTTCTGAAATTCTAAATTTCTGAGAATTCCA